GGTCCACCCATCGAAACGCAACGGCCGAAACCTGGGCAAACTGAGATGTTGCACGGCTTCTAGTAGCCCTACCATGGTCCTGCCAAACATGGCATTCTACGCCGCGGATGCGCGACAGAAGCTGTCTCAGGCCCCATTATCCTTGAAATCGTATCGCATGAATGGTTGCGCGTCGATCCAAGATCGCTCTGGGCCTTGACAGATATCTGCGCTTCAGGCATAATGGTCCAAGAGAAAGGAAATCGGAGTAAAGGAGTGGCGCAGTGTTTAAAAAATAAAAATAAAGGTCTGCACGCCATTGAGGGTATTTCCTATCCAAGTGTCAAAACAAGGATGCTAAAACAAAGAATGTCCATTCGCTGGAATGAAACTGGTAAGAGACCGGCAGTATTACCCTCCCATTCCCATTCTAGGGCCCACAGTGGGCGTAAAATAAGAGAAAAGTGAAACTATATTTTCACTGTATTCCAAAGAGTGTATAAACAGGGCGGGTGTCTTTAGGTCCGCCTAATGCGTCTAGCATTGGTGTTGTTGCATTATAGCGGCGGGAGCTTGCCGGCGAGCTCCACGTACCGCGGCCAGGTGTTGGTGAAGACGAGGTATTTGATGCTCGAGAAGGCGGGGTCGAACACATTCTCGGTGAAGTCGCTCGGTACAATGCTCCTTGTGCTCGCTGTTGATGATGTAGTGGTGTTGCTCTCCATACTGGCTGGTCGGCTTAGAGTGTCCTCCCACGGGCACACGACCTCCCTAGCAGCGTTGGATGAGCTCTCGGGAGTCTGACTGCGTGGCATGTAAGGGTCAAACTCCACGTCCTGAAACGTTGTTTGCAAGTTCTTGAAGATCCTGTACTCAATGTTGATCGGTGACTCGGCCGTGAATGGGTTGATGAGGGCATAGAAGATGAGCGACGCCTCTGTGAACATTTGGCGTCTTTGCGCAGTAGTGACGACCTTCAGGCAGCCCCACTTCTTCTTGAAGTTGCGGACTTCGCGGAGGAAGATGCAGTTCTCGGCGGTGAACTCACGTGCTGCAGCCCATGCGATGAGGGGTTCGATGTTTTGATCAATGGTGAATTCAAGGGCTTGCATAGAACCCTTGGACCTCATCTCTTTGCTGCAGATGCCGATGATTTCCTTTTCGTTGTGCTCAATGGACGAGTCGTTGGAAATGGTCGATGTAAGTGACTCGGTCGAAGATATCGATGATCGTCGTTGTGGTCGCGTCCTGATTGCACCACGGAGAGGGATGAGAAGCAAGACTTGCTGACAAACCACCAATGATGGGATGAACCTGACAATAAGATTAGCAGGTGAGCAGGCGGTAACCTTGAGGGTGCACTCACCATCCAGCTGGTGCAAAAAACTTGTTGATAACTTCGACTCCTGTCCAGTTTGAGTAGGTAAAGGCAATCCAAAGCGGTGTTCCTGGGAGGCTACATAGAAGGTCAGTGTGTGAATGGAGTTGAATGGCGAGTCCCCTTACCCAGCAATAATGGCAAGTCTCGTTTGCCAGGCCCATGAATGGACGTCCTTGATATCGCGGATCTTCCAGAGAATCCATGGACCGACAAGCATAGTCCAGAACAGTTGCACAAAGATGGAGGGGATCCATTCAAATCCTCTTCGGCACTTGTGGAAGTCGGCCGGCTCTCCAAAGAAGCCATAGCCCGCATGAAAACGGCGCGAACCGAAGAACAGCAGGATGGCAGGGAAGAACTATTGTTGTTAGGATAATGGGTTGACTTATCATGTGAAATACATACCGAGAGCGTCAGTCCAACCAGGGTACCAAGGTAGACTTTCCTTGCTGCATCGAGATCGAACCATGCTTGAATCAGGCCTCGAGGGGTATATGAGATGCGCTTCTTGCGCGCACCTTCCAAGAAATTGCGCGTCATTCGCCGCTGACTCTCATAGGCAGTGAGTACCTTGGCGTTGCAAGCTGGCAAGCGTTAGCACGTACTGTATGGGGTGAAGAAAAAAAATACCTTGGAAGAAAGCCATTCCTGAGGGAAGAAACACAGACATTATCCAGAATTCTGCAGCACACGGGAAGAGGCCATTCCACGGGTAAACAAGCAGGACCAGGACGAGATAGATGTGAAGCATCAGTACTGCGGCGAAGACGACTTGGATATTCCTTAGCCGCACGCAAAACGCCTGGCGGTATCGGTGAAGCAAGTATAGCTCTGTGAGTAGCACAAACGTGTATGTTATGGCAACGACTATGTAGCCGATCCCAAGAGGGTCGACGTTGGGTTTGTTCGAGCCATCCAGTGACCGTGGACGCAGAACGGGCGGCATCGTGACCATGCTGCGTGTATACCGAACAGGTGTGAAAGTTTCGAATGATGGCCGACGAGGTATGAGGATTTGACAGTCAGACTCCCCCTCTTACTTAATAGAACGAATGTGGGTACGTGTGACGGAAGGAATGGAGGACATCAGGTACCGTGAAAACGGGACAGGTCATGCAAAGGTCACATAAGCGAAGAGAGCGGCACACAAGTACTGGGGAGGGCGGGAAGACGTAAGAAGTATTAAGAGTGCCTCGCACAGGGGCCAGGTCCTGGGCAGGAAGCCAACGGGAACAGTTTACGAGCGGCATGGACGTGGTCTGAGCGGCAAGGGATTCCTCGATGGTACATGATCGGATACTGCCGAGTCAGAGCGACCGTATCGTTCCTAGTGTTACGGAAAGGTACAGTCTGCAGGGAGAAACGCGTGAATAGAGCGCCATGGCAAAGATATGTGCGACAAGGCCGGCCGCCATGGAGACACAGGTTGCTACCTTGCCATAGTGCTGCGAGCATCACTTGATGCCACGCCGCAGTCAAGGTTGGCCGCCGCCGCCCAGCATCCAACATGTACATCCATGCCTGGTGGGGCGATACAGCAAGCAAATGGCGGTTGGGATAATCCGTCGTGTTGTGTTGTGTGAGTCGTGTTGGGCCGTGTAAGTGGTGGATGATGGGGTCGGGGATCGCGCTATGGTGGGTGCTGCTGCATCGTCGCATCCGAAACCAGACGGCCGCCGTTTCGCAGCCCGGGAGCTTCCCAGACCATGACCATATCATCAATCGTTCCCAGGCGCTCGGATGCATCTGGACGCGCTACATCCCTTCGCCGCCGACAGCCCGGCTTCTAGTTGTTGTTGCATCCTTCTTAGCTAAACGGCGTCGTGCTGTCATCGGCACGGCGCATCGTCATGCTGCATTGCGCTGCATGCACACCTGCTACGCCAGCACTGTCGTCGACATGTCTCGACATGTCGATACGGCTTCAACATACGACTACGGGACCTATACCCGCGGCTTAACCGTTTCAGTTTCGATTCGGCCCTCTTTCTAACTATTGTCCGGATCCAAAATCTGACGTTCATGCGTTCCCTCTCCTTTGCAATTCCGGCACGCTGAAAACATTGCCCTGTCAGTCTTGCACCGGTTTCACGTCATTTCTTCTAGAACCTGATGCGTGCCTGTGCGTGCCTGTCGTCCATGTCCAAGGGACTGTCAGAAGCTGCCCGCCGAGCACAGCGTCCCTTCGGGCTTCCTTCCCCGACTGACTCAATGCAAATCCCCCGGAAACGCCTCCAAGCAAGGCAAGCTTGATCGGACCAGCCTAGCTGATGTGGGGAAGCGTGCGGTGAGACAAGCAATGTCGTTCCCACCGCCGCCCTTCAAAGCTTCCCCTATCAATGCTTGCCTACCTTCTCCGACCATAGAGTCTAGGAACCCTTCCTTCCGCAGTCTGTCGTGCACCCAGTCAGACACATGGCTCCCCGCATACGATAAAGCACATTTCCGCATTACGACAAGCCACCACTCTGCGAACATGATCCTCTACAAGGGGCTTATTGCGAGTCTACTGATCGTGTAACCTTCAGCTCAAATCAAAACACATACAGTGCTGCCACAAACGTCATGTTGAGCATGTCAGTAGCTGTGGCTACCCGCCAACCCGGATTCCCCTACCGTTGTGGTGTGACAGGTCTTGTGGGTATCGAAATTGCCCTGCGTAGCATTGCGAGATCAACAATCCAGCCCTTACAAGGACAAGGTTCATGGCTGAATGGATGGTACCTTACTGCTCGACACGGAATCGATTTGCACGCGTGGTACGTACGCACTCGCAAAAGCGGTCCGTAATCGGGTATCAACAATCAACAACCGCTGCAAGCAGGCTTTCTGGATACTGATGACATCGTAAAGCAGTTCACGAACACGGAAGAACATGGTTGATTGACTACGGCATCTTGGACGGTCGCGCAAAAGCTAAAGATAGGAGACGGAAGAATCGAGAACCGCTTCTCTAGGTGCCCATGTGTATATCACTATCAGTATAGGTCCTTTAGAGTCATGTCGCACCCGGAAGTCACCTTTAGGAAAGTCGGATCCAGCGGCGGTACCGTACGGAAAATTAACCCGGCGCAGTACACATGGTCGTTTGATCGTCTTCCAGGATCATGTCAGCAATTCGTCCTCTCAACTCCGCCTCACTACTTCACAACCTTGAAAACACGAAAGAGTATATAAAGTTCATGCTTAGCCAACGTCATAAGGATCAGGCCAATACCGTTACAGTACCGTCGCAGTAGTGATTTGCACATACGATTGGCTTGTCGGACGGGTGACTGGCTGCGACACTGAATACGTAGTTGAATACGTAGTCAGGGCTAGAATTCCAACGGGCTTTTTGCGGTCGCTCGTCTTGTTGAAGGATCTATCGGAAACATAAACGCGCTGATCAATGTTTCGACTAGGCTCGTATTTCTTCGAGTTCTGGAGCAAGCCCCACAACGATCAGCACACTTTACCCAAAGCGCGATGAAAATGGTTCTTGGCGAGAACGTGTTTTTACTGGGGTAGACGTGGTAGTAGGATCGTAAGTCAGTACTCGGAATGCGAAGGGAATGCGAAAACGGGTCCAAGAATATTGGGCACGAAGTGCACAACTTGGCTTGTGCATAAGTACATGTGATTTTATTCATGCTGCACGTGACCTGTGCAAAGTCTGGGCGGCGTCCGAGACGTCAAGCTAACCGAACCCCATCTACAATGACATTCAGGTATATCATGCATCTTAATAAACATCTCTAATTCATTGCTAACGTTCGTCGAGGTATCCAGACAATAGTCCGAGTTGCCAAATATTCCATTTGCGTACCAAGCTCAAAACCGCACTCGGCATTTCTGCGGTAGCAATAGCCTTCAATGGCACGAGTGAGGATGTCTATTTACATAACTCAGCGGCAAAATTGAGCAACTATGGTGAATTTTGTACAATCCGCCATAATCTGCTGTTCTCCCGGCTTCGCTTCTGTCTTGTTTCGGCGCTGCTCTCGGAGGCTTTGTTGGAGGACCGATAGAGCAGTATCTTGGCTGGCAGTGGATCTTTTGGATCCAACTTATACTCGGTATAAGCACAGAAGCGCTGCATATGCTGATCATGAAGGAGACACGAGCTACAGCCTTGCTTGACCAGGCTGCGAAGAAGTGAGGGAGAGAAGGAGATGAATTTTTTTACGGGCCCAACGAAAGTAAGAGCTGGAAGAAATGGTTCCATCCGAAAGCCATGCCAGCCATATTTCAAACCTACTATGCTCTTCTGAGATATTAGGTCTTTGAGAAGTGGCTATTCATGCTAACGGTCATTCTTCTGGTCGTTGTTGTGTTAGCAGTCTCATACGTCATTGGTTACTTCGCCTTCTTCCCCGCCACAATTCTCGACGCAGCAAGAGGAAACAGCTCGAACTTCAAGCTCGCTTTAAGCCTCTTCATACCACATTATACTCCTTCCTGTAGCACTACTCATTTGTGCATTCGTCGCAGCTGGATCGCCACTCCACTGACTCTCCGTCATCGTGGCTTTTGTTCTCGTCGGCATCGCAAACTTCATCCTCTACTACACCACGATTGATTACTCGCTGCCTGTGATCCATACAGCGTGTTGCCACAGGTTGTAAAGGTTTCATGGGAACTTCCTCACCTGCATATGCGCTTCACATTAGGATTTTGTCCACAAACTCAGTATTCGGAGAAACGTCCATAGAAAGGTGACTGCTTTCATTTTGGCGACAAAAAGTTCGAGGATCGCCTGAATAGGCAGAGCATCCGTGAGACACAGCGGAGGGCGTTCCCTGATGCGATTCTCTCGCTACGTAGTGGTGTTCTAGAGTCGCGAACCGCGGCGGATTCCGCGTCCATGCGCCATGATGTCATGTGGACGAGCTAAGAGCTTTCACCCACAGAGCCGCATACACCTATACCTCAACCGGTCAGCTACGGTATGATGACCACCATCCAGACCACATCACAAATCTCATTTCTGACGGCAACGATTTACCTCACTTCATCTACGTCGAAATCTGCTGGTCGCCGAGATGGGCCACAACACGTCCATCCGTACGTCTTTGCATGCTTGCTCGCAGAAGAGTTTTTGAAGAATCTTCGAGCCGACATGTTTGCCGCCGCACGCAAGACAAGAGGCCAAGCAATTGAAGCGTTCTCAGAAAGCGTCTTAGCGCTTGAACTTACGGGACCCTTAATCCATTGAACCCACTCTTATTCTCAGCCGCGTGCAGACCTACGGACGTTTTGTCGTTCGAGAGGGTGTGTGCATGGATTAAGCAGTCTAGTTCTGATTTTTCGCTGCACACATGAAGCTTGTCGTCACATAGTCGGACCCACAGGGACGTTGCCGATGAAGAGCACCACAATGCTGTCATACTAGGCTCCACTGCAACACAAACTCCATCACTCCTATCGTCGATGACATTTCCCAGACCGATCTCAACATCAAATTTTAGGCCAATATCCTGCGTGCTGGGTTTTGTAATAATGGAGCCCACGTTGACCGGCACTCTGAGTGGAGGCAGATCACCGACAACGAACTCTGTGGGCAAACGTCATACCGGAGGTGGAGGCCAAATGTGGACTTTTATTGGGTTCAAGAGGACTTCAAAGTCTCAACCCGCATCCAGAGTCTCGTCTCCAGCTTTCTCTCCCCAGACTACCTGAATATGACGGAAAGCGAGTCCAGGCACCCTTCGCTCACACGAGCCGGTTCGCGGCAACTTTCCGAAAAAGATGGTGCTGAAGAGCGCCGACCCAGCTTACCGGCCGATGTGAGCGACGACGAAAAGTCGCGCAACGACGTTGACATTCCCGTCGATCCACAAGGAGTACATCATCCATCCATGGTACCTGACGCAGAAGGGAGGCGCGAATTGAGGGAATGGGAATGCTGGGACAAGCTCGCATACACATGGCCCAAGTGGAAAAAGGCCATGTACCTGGCTTCCATTGCCGGAATTCAGATCAGTATGAATTTTAATACAAGCGTGTATCCGTCGGCCGTCAATCCCATATCGGAACATTTTGGCATCAGCACACAGGCGGCGCGAGTTGGGCAGATGATATATCTCGTCTTCTACTCATTTGGTTGCGAACTGTGGGCTCCATGGAGCGAGGAATTTGGCAGATGGCCCATTCTACAGCTCAGCATGTTTCTCATCAACATTTGGGAGATTCCATGCTCGGTAGCCCCGAATTTCGGGACGATTGTTGTCTGCAGAGCTTTGGTAAGTGCTCCACGGATGTTGACCTTATGCGATACTAACTTTCATCTAGGGTGGTCTTTCTACCGCAGGAGGTAGTGTCACTCTCGGCCTCATCGCAGATATGTACGAGCCAGAGACTCAACACTGGCCCCTATGCTTTATCGTACTGTCCTCGACAATCGGAACCAGTATTGGTGGTGTTATCGGTGGTCCGATCGAACGCTGTAGGTTTCACCTTCTCACTACTATACGAGCCAACGACTGACATTTCATCATTCAGTCCTCACATGGAGATGGAACTTTTGGATCCAATTGATCTTCGGCGTTGTCGTACAGGCCGTGCATTTCTTTATGCCCGAGAGTCGAGCCACCATCCTCATCGACCGCGAAGCGAAGCGACGTCGCGAAACAGGCGAAGACCCTAACGTATACGGACCGAACGAACTCAAGAAGCCTCGAATCTCGCTCAAGGAGGCGGGCAAAATCTGGCTCCGACCTTTCGAGATGTTCGTCCGCGAACCTATCGTCTTGTTCCTATCGCTGTTATCAGGCTTCTCTGATGCGTTGATCTTCACTTTCCTGGAAGCCTTCAACGTCACTTTCCCGAACAACTTTGGCTTCGGTACCCTGGCCGTGGCATGGGCTTTCATTCCCATTAACGCATCGTACTTCTTTACCTACTTCCTATATTGGCCATGGTTTTGGCGCGATGATCATCTCCGCAAGAAGAATGGCCCAGACTGGATGTCTCCTGAGCGACGTCTCAAGCCCCTTCTTCTGCTAGCGCTTTTCGAACCCATTGGTTTGTTTGGCTTTGCTTGGACTTGTAAGTTGGCCCTCATATCTATACGCACTTTGACTGACTTGGGCTAGGCATGGGTCCTCCACAGACACATTGGATAGCGCCAATGATCTTCTCCTTCCTCGTCGGTCTTGCCAACTTCGCAATCTATTACTCTTCCGTCGACTACATGATCGCCGCCTACGGACCATACTCTGCCTCGGCTACGGGTGGCAACGCTTTTGCTCGCGATTTCCTTGCAGGGATCTCCGCCATGTACGCTACACCGCTATACAACAACCTCGCCGGTTCAAGCCCCCAGAAATCCGAGTATGCGACCACGCTTCTGGCGTGTCTGTCTTGTCTGATTGTGGTTCCCATTTATGTCTTCTACTGGAAGGGACCTCAGATCAGGAAGGCTAGTAAGTTTGCCTCGATACTGGCGGAGGACAGAAAGGCGGAGGGCGTTAGGCGTCTCAGTAAAGCGGATAATCTCCCAGCGTGAGGAATTACCCAGGTATATGTTTACATCAGGAAGGAAATGCATTTGGATTCCGTAGGTATCTTAATGGGGAACTGCATTGGGCTTGTAATGAAAACAAGCCCACAGAGGATCAAGCGTGACATGGGTATATGATTGATGGGTAGACGCATCGACAGAGGGTCGAATACTTCGCGAGCCCAACTGAGGGACTCTAGGTACAAAAATTAATACATCTTTTTTACAGGCTTTTTTGGACTGCACAAGACATGATTTCCTTCTCTAAAAGTTCAAAGGGCACCCCGAGTATTTTTTCCGTATACAGAACTTCTCTAAACTCGGAGATATGTGCCATCCAAGCCCCCAGCCCAAACATCTCACCCCACTCACAAACATGCCCCATCATCAACACCCAATAAGCCAAATAGCCCCCAACCCCATAGACCAACGCCCCCGCCACCGCTCCAACACCCAAAACCACCTTCGATGCCACAGACATCTTCTCCCGCCCCTCCTCCCCCCTCTCGTCAGTCTCCCCACCAAACCGCTCCAAATGATACCCATTCGACCCAGCAATCACAACATCAAAATCCCACTCCCTATACCCCCTATTAGCCACACCTTTCCTACGAAACTCCCTGCCCCAAATCGCACACTTGATCAGCGTCCGACTACCCGCCGTCGTACACTCGGGTCCCAGATGAATACTAGGCGAGCGTTCAAAGTAGATGTTGAAACCCTTGCACTCTTGTTCGTGGTCGAGCGACGCATCAGGTGAAGTACGCTCGCTGCCGTAGGCGTTGCAGTGTGCGGCGCAGACGTCTGGGGAGTAGGCTTCCAGCTCATAGTGGCCGAGGTATCCGCGGTCGCTGTATGAGGCTTCGGCGAGGGAGAAGGCGAGGGCGTATGCTGTGGGGAATTTTGGGATGGGGGCTTGGAAGGCGAAGGAGTGGATGGCGGGGGAGTCGTAGAAGGCGCCTGGGGTGTCGGGGGTGGGGTGAGGGCCGTAGCCTGCTGGTTGGGGTGCGCAGTCGCCTTGGGAGTTGTATTGGTAGAGGTCTGTGGGGAGTCTGGGGTGGGGGGTTGTGGTTGTGATCGTTGTGGCTGTGATTGTTGGTGTGGGCGTGGAGATTGAGGGGAGGATGGTGGCTGTGAGGGGACTGAATGGTGTCGTTGAAGGGAGCGTAGCGGCTGCCATGATGGTGAGGGCTGTGAAGTTGGACATTTGGATGGATTGACGGTGCGATAGATTTATGAGTAGGAGAAAGTGATGATAGGAATTTCATTATGGGAGTGTGGTATTCTTTATGCTCCACTTTCGCGCTATGGTAGCGATAGGGATGGGCCAAGGGTACTCAACGCCACTATTACCACTTTTTGGTGGGCACTCAGGGTAAATTGCAGCACCGCATGGGGCAAAAGTTTCATTTGCATTGGAAACTTAGGTAATGAGAGAGTACTCATGTCGGCCGTACGTTGATAAATGGGGTTCAAGTGACCCTGCCCCCACTCCGTGCCCTCTCATCCGCTATAACTCAAGCAAAACTACATCTCCATCTGCTCTGGCCAAGTAAGCGAGAAAGTCCTCCATGCGAGCTCACTAGCTCCTCTAGCTACCGTAAACTCAGGATAGGTAGGCCCAAACAACTCAATCTGAAAACCTGCACTCTTGACAGCTCCATCAACAGCTTCAGCTGCCGCTGACGTGGCAGATTCTCCAGTGAGCAGAACGGTGATGAGTTTTGGGGGTTCCGTGGTTGCATAGCGCCTATGAAGTAGCATAATGATACACACGCGGAGCTGCCTTATTCTCTTTTCAGAGTCTGGATCCGTAGGATCGCCCGGACGAAAGAAGTAGGGGTATGTATAGGTTTCTGGATCCGCGAGATCGTAAGCCTCGCGCATTGATGCTAAGTGAAGAAGCAGTGAAGTGGATGTGTACTCAATGAAGAGCGTTGGTCGTACAGGAAGGGTTAATCCCTCCTTCCTGCACTGGGCTTCATCAATGTAAGATTTGCAAAGGCCCATGCCGTACCCAGCGTAAGCTGAAACGATACTTCGTGGCGGATAAACATGGTTGCCGTTAAGCAGAGGGAGCGATAAGTAGTGGCCAACATCGGAAATGTCTTCAGCGTACAAGCCGGGGAGTGCGGGATATGATATCACAACAGAAGCTACTGTTGCTGGAGGGTGACTCGTTGCCATATCTACCAGAGACCGGGTCAAAGTAGATAGTGTGCCGACGTCTGGAGATGCGGGAAGAAAGACGAGCTTTCGGGCAGATCGAAGCCATTGCCGTGGTTGGTCATTCCATTGATCTTCTATACTCTCGTAAGGTGGACTTTACTTGAATATTAGTCTACCGTATATCAAGAAATTTTCAATGGGAGACTTGCGCAGGATGCGCTGAGGTTTCAAATGAAAGCCGAAACATCATATCTCGATAGTTTTGGTCTCCATCTACTCGTGCGATGTCGCTGAACGAGCCATCATCATTTCGTACAGAAACAGTGCCGTAGCTTGCCGTCAGTGAGAGTCCGAGGATCCTAGACTCTGGAAGTTGGTTCATATTGAAGCGAACGGGATTGAGACGGTCAAAAAAGATAAAGAAGGAGCATAGGAAAACTGAGCAAGATGCGACCAAGAGAAGCCTCGGTGGTGGCATTGTAAGAGATGCGATGGCTGCGCGGAAGGTCGAGAGCATCTTCTCGGATACTTGTTACGGGTATCGGATGCCTACGAGTTGCTTCGCCACATCCTGTGCGTTGTGCAATCTGAATGGGAGGCCTAGGGCGTACTGCGGATGGGCGGCGCTAGTGCTAATGTCGTTAGCGAGGGGGCCAGTGCATATCTACTTTCACTCTAACCTCGCATTCATCCTGAGATTGTGCTCACGGCCATGATCCGAGAGCGTCTCATCGTATCTCCGGCTATAATCTTATCATATACATTAGAGAGCCTCTCAGCTTGTGATCTTACGGATTCAAGGCGTCCTCTACGCCTCATCGCCTGTCATCTCGGCGATCCTACCATCTTCTATACATCGACGCCCTGATGTAATACCAAAGCTATGATATTGACTGGCCTGTAAAGAGACGTCAGATGTGAATAGCTGATGGTTCAGGGCGTAAAATAAGCGCCATCAACCGCTACCTAAGCCGACCGCAATGACATTGCGGCGTGGTAAGGTACCATCTATGTTTATGCTCTAACACGATTAGGCCATAATGGGAACATCATGTGTTAGACGTCATTGTTGTATCCTGCGATGTTAGGAAGTCGTCTCCATATGTCTACGTAACCTAGTCAGTGTAATCTTATATCTATTCATCACTACCATTTCTTTGTTGGTACCCGGATTCTTTATTTCACCATATCCTAGTTTCTCCCAATTACCTTGTTCGAGCTATCAGGTCTCTCCTCATGCATTAATTTCCAAGAACGACGAGATTTAGGATTTCCAGAAAGATCCATGGTCTTCCCCCCGAGCTGCCTTTGAAGTCGCCAGATACGCGGCGCTAAGAGAATCGTTCGCTTCAAGCCTAGTGATGGCGAGGAATACAATGATACTGGCGATAAGGTTCCGTCGCTACGAATATTAAATGGAAGATAAGTAAACTTACCAGACCACTCAACGAAAAGATCATGTCGACCGTCGATAGTTGGCCCACACGCGCCGACCTCTTCTACGTCACCGTTAGATTCTACGGCCATCTTTTCTGCGAACAAGACGTTTAGGGGCCACCAAAACATCTGGTTCTACCTCTCGAATACAGTACAGGCGGCGTATCGGTTTCTTACCACGGACGCGACAACGTACCATCCAGCGATTTTCAAGCCAGACGACCAAGGCGACTACTTCGCCTGTCTAAGATCTGACGGTGTACTAGCCGAACACACAGCACTTGACCTCAACAGTGTACCCAGCAACGTCGGCGACGCTCCCGTAGCAGCGTAATCGGATCTATCAAACTAGCTAGCCCGCCTATTCCGCCCAAACATTAACGGTATGATGGTGTATCGCGATAATATTATGAAAGCTTATGAGGCGTATTCTCCGTGTAGTATGGCAAGATGGTGAGATTGCCATGTCGCTGTCGCCGTGTCGCTAATGTCGCTAATGTCGCCAGATTCGCCAGATTCTCCATCTTAATCTCGCCACAGTGACACTGGCTGGCGACACTGGCTGGCGACACTGGCAGGTGAGCGACATCGGTATGTGGGCGACACGGGCGGGCGACACGGGCGACACGGGCGAATCTAGTAAACCGCCTCGCCAGATTCTAGCGATTATAGAGAATCTGACGAGATGGTGGGTGTAGTATGGCGAGGTCGGTAAGATGGCGAGTCTTGCAACATGGCGATATAAAGAATCTGGTGAGGTGATTCTAGCGAGTATAGAGAACCTGGCGATATGGCGGGTGTATTAAAGCGAGCGTAGTATGGTGGGTGTATTTGACGAGTATATTTGCGCCTAATCCTAGCATTACCATTTTCTATACACATGCTCTTGGAGACTATACGAGTGCTTATACGCTATACCTTACACTAGGCGTAGCGTAAGCTAAGTAACCTTCTATTCTCTAACAATCTAGGGGTACTATGCTCTAATAAGCTATCACAATATGTAAGACCCTCGACCACTAGCCAGAACTTACACATCTATGTGGTATACACCCACTACCTATCGCTAACTCTCCGGTTTCAGTAGGGTCTGCGTAGGCATTGCGCGGCTACATTTCATACTGGCATCGCGTAGTATTTAGCGGTAGAGTTCTTTACGCATTCGGGTTCTCCACAGTACAATAATATGTTGTCGTCGTCAGGTGCGCTGCATACTAGAAAAAGACGCTAGCCTAAAACCGTCCCTACCTTCTACGTCCCCACCTTCCTCACAACCCTTACCCACCTGCTCTTCTTCACACCAACACACTAACTCTACCCTGTGTATGCCGTTGAAATCCTTCAATCCGCGCCGCTCGTGATGCTAGTACCACAATCGTACGACATCGGCTCCTCTCGGCACCTTCCGACCGATCACCTCACACAAAACCACGCCGCGGGTCTCGCCACCAACCGCTATTCTGGGAAAAGTAGTTTTGTGTCTGGTGATGTCTAGAGTCTAGCGGTGAATAGTACGTCGTTATACGTCGTTAATCAAGAGAAATAATCGCGCTTGGGTTACTTAGAGTGTTGGGTGGGCGTGTTGGTGTCACGCAACCATGAGGTCGGTGTCGGAATCGCGGGTGAGAGGTGTGTTATGAGAAGGTTCTTCTACTTCTTGTTCTTCCGCTTCTTATATAAAGATGTAGTATATGTCGTACTGGCTTATTAGTATCACACAATTACACAACATCTCGGCTACTACTTACTGCTACGACAACACTCTTGCATACTGAGGCGACTTAGTCTAACACATCACGAACCTTGATCAACGAAGAAAGCAATCGAGTCAACACAACATCCTCTCACTAGAGCCCTTCACACAACTCAAAGAAGAGTCTACCAAACCTACAAAAATGCCAGCAACACCAAAATCATTCCTCCCCGCCTTCTCCGCTTTCCTCGGTACGTTGCTTCCTCACCCCTCCCTTTCCCCCCCTCTCTTCCCTTCATCCCCACATCCCCGTCCCCCGTCCCCCGTCCCCCTTCTCCTCCCCTCCGTTCCTCTCCCCCTCCTATCCACTCACTAACAAACATCACTCACAGCAATCGGCGTAACATACACAACAATCGTAGCGGCAAAAGAAGGCGCAACAATCGACTCTGCACGAACACGATGGCAGGCGCAACATGCAGCGGCGAGAAACGCGTTATCTGGGGGTGTTGAGGGGGGTGTGAGACACTGAGATGAGAGAGAGAGAGAGCTGTGTAGGGAGATGAGGGTAGGGGACGGGATGGGATGGGATGGGATGGGGTGAGTGGAGGGTCTAGGTAGTTTTCTTTGGGGGCTCCGCGATATTAG